GGCGTGGTGGGTTCTTTCCGCAAAGGCCCATGTGAAACCGCGTGGGCTTTAATGCAGCATCCTGTCTCTCTCTGGAGGTATCTGGGAGGGATTGATTTTAGAGTGGTGATTTTGGTAGTCAATATGAAAAATGGAAGCTCCATGAAGTTTCTTTTAAGTTTGATTCCCTGCTGCCTCCTTATGCCTGGAGAGAGAGCTGTCACAAGCAGGTGCTCAGTGAGCACTTGGTTCAGGGAATAACCTGGCTCTTGGTGTACATACTCTGAGGGTTGAGCACCTGGTTGAGGGTACAGCCTAGGGTAGTAAGTACTTGATCAAGGGATTGCTCCAACTCTCGGAAGACCAGCTCCACAGATCCTAATGACAGCAGCCGCCACACCAGACAAGGACACACAGAGAGAAAAGAGTTTGAAGGCGGACAGGGTAGTGACCATGTTGGGACAGGAGGGTCCTTGGAAGCTGTCCCACCTTCCCTTGGGGTCTTCTTCATCTTCAGGGTCCTGAACTAGGCTGGCATTGATGGTGGCATCTGGGGGCTTAAAAGACACCTTCCAGGCCTGGACTGGCTGCTTCCCTGGATGGGTGTGGCAGGACCAGGCCTACATTAGCCAGGAGCCCTACCATTAACACACCACAGGCTTCTGAGGTCGGGAACTTTAAATTGTGGCTTGGGAGGGAGAAGAGAGACAGTGGGGAGAGCAGGGTTAGAGTGAGTTTGTCTGATTAACTCTTGCTTGTCTAAAGTTACTCACAGAGCTATGGTGGTTAGTGCCAGGTCACTGGGAAAAGTCCTCTAAAGTCCATGAGAAATCTTGGAAGACCAGAGATGGGGAGAGTGAGGTTAGAGAAAAGTCCTGTCCAAGTGTAAGGGGACCAGAAGCAAGCACCAGGAAGGGCCTCCCAGACCAGCTAGAGTGAGGCCAGGCTGCTAGGTGGGAAGGTACTGACAAAGGGCAGATGTGTGGCAAGGCAGATGTGTGGCAGCCCAGATGACAGACATAGATGGGTGAAGGCTAGGAGAGGGCACTGTGGGTCCCTGTCTCCAATACCTGCTATCCTTTTCCACGAGCTTTTTGCAGGTAGGGAAGAAGGTCAAGTGCCTTTATTTATGTTTCTTCTCTCAAACCTGGAGAGATGTCTTGCAGCAGAAATAGATAGGTGTTCACAGAGACCTCCATGCTCACAGAGGCTCGTAGATACAGTGTCCCAGCATAGCCCACTCCCTGCTGCCTTGGGTCCTGTCTCACACCCACTGGGCTGAGCCCTGCCCTGTCACAGGCCCTGAAGAAGCATAAGGAATGACAGAGACAGTTTCAACCACAGACACCAAGATTCCTGTGGTCCTGAATATCTCAGAGTCTACATGGGCTACTCTCTCTCCTCAGCTCTGCTGCCCAGACAGCTGGCCAGCTCATGGGCAGGGTTGGTGAGGCAGAAAGAATGACTGTAGCACAGTCCATGAACATTGGGCAGTGTCCAGGTTGTGTCCAGACGTGGTGGCAGGGTGAGTGGGCTGAGACCTCATGAGCACTGATGAGACCTCCTGAAACCTGCTTACCTGGGCCCTGGCCAGACCCAGAATGGACACAGCATCATTCCTAATCATGATAGCTAATACAATGAAAAGGCTTTGTACTATCCACTACCTCACTGATGTTTATTGTTTACTGGTCCAGTGGTGAGGATTTTTGTTTTCTTTACATTGAGATGTAATCCACACCAAAGGCTGTGGTCTTTGATCTTCATCTGTAAATATTTTAAGTCCTCTTCACTTTCAGCTCTGGTAGCGTAGCGGTTACTAATCGGGCTGTGAACCTCAAGGTCAGCAGTTTGAAACTACGAGGGGAAAGATGAGGCTTTCACTCCCATAAAGATTTATAGCCTCAGAAATCCTGTACAGGGTCACTATAAGTCGGAACTGACTCCTCGGCACATAACCACCACCACCACTTTCAGCAAGCAAGGTTGTATCATCTGTATATTGCAGGTTGTTAGTGAGTCTTCCACCAATCTTGATGCCACATTTTTCTTCATGCCAGGATTATTTGCTCAGCATAGAGGTTGAATAAGTATGGTGAAAGAATAAAACCCTGTCGCACACCTTTCTTAATTTTAAACCATTCAGTGTTCCCATGTTCTGTTCAAACGACTGCCTCTTGATCCGTGTACAGGTTCCTCATAAGCACAATTAAGTGTTCAGGAATACTCATACTTTGTAATGTAATGTTGTCCATAGCTTGTCATGATCCACACAATCAAAAGCCTTTGCATAGTCAATAAAGCACAGGTATGCATATGCATGTGAAAGCTGGACAGTGAATAAGGAAGACCGTAGAAGAATTGATGCTTTTGAGTTATGGTGTTGAAGGAGAATATTGAAAGTGTCATGGACTGCCAAAAGAACCAATAGATCTGTGTTGGAAGAAGTGCAGCCAGAATGCTCCTTGGAGGCCAAGATGGCCAAACTTCATCTCTCATACTTTGGACATATTGTCAGGAGGGACCAGTTGCTGGAGAAGGATATCATGTTTGGTAAGGTGGAGGGTCAGAGAACAGGAGGAAGAGCCCCAGCGAGATGGATTGGCAAAGTGGCAGCATCAGTGGGCTCAAGCATGGCAACAGTAGTGAGGTTGGCTGAGGACCAGGTTGGCCCAGGCAGTGTTGCATACTGTTGTACACACAGTCGCTATGAGTCGGTACCAACTCGATGGCACCTAACAACAACAACCTCCATGAATTTCACCTTTCCAGAAGACCTGTGAGGAAGAACTTAAGCATGCCCGCCCATTTTATAGGTAGGTGTACTGAGAGGAGAAAGAAGAAGATCCTGGTGTAGTGCTGCAGGATAAAGCACTGGACCAAAAGGTCAGTTTGAAATGCAAGGTCAGCAGTTCAAACCCACCAGTTGCTCCTTGGAAACCCTATACTGGTCGCTATGAGTCAGAACCAACTTGACAGCATATAACAATAACCACACGAAGCCCTGTGGGGAAGAATTTTGTTGTTGTGAAATGCTGTCTAGTCGGTTCCACTCATATCGACCCTATATAGGGTGAGTGGCTGGTGAGTTTGAACTGCTGGCCTTGTGGTTCAATCAGATCTCGCAGTCCAGAGCTTTATCCCACAGTGTCACACCAGGACTCTGAGGAAGAACTTAAGCACCCTCATCTTACAGATGGGAGTTGTTGTTAACCACTGACCTTGCAGTTCAAATGATTTTGCAGTCTGATGCATTAACCCATAGCACCACACCAGGACTCCACAGATGGGAGTATTTAGAGGGAAAAGAGGTTACCTAGCGTAGTGGTTGTGAGTCAGGTTGCTAATCTCATGGTCAGCAGTTTGAAACTACCCGAGAGGCTGTGAATGAAAGATGAGGCTTGGAGTCCTGGTGTGGCGCAGTGGGTTAATGCACTTGACTTCAAAGTCATTTGAATCACAATGTCGGCGGTTCAAGCTCACCAGTCACTCCTTGGAAGTGACTATAGGAGCTCTGGTAGCATAGTGGTTACGAATCGGGCTGCTAACCTCAAGGTCAGCATTTCGAAACTACCAGCTGTTCTGTGGGAGAGAGATGAGGCTATGTTCACCCATAAAAATTTACAGCCTCGGAAACCCTGTACAGGGTTACTATGAGTTGGTACCAACTTCACAGCACATAACCACCACCACCATGGGTCAAAATCAACTCAACGGCACAACCACAATAACAAAAGCAGGAAAATGGTAGAGCTGGTGTCCGAACCTAAGTATTATAGAATGACACTTTTGTTTTACCCACCCCTACACCCCTTCTCAGGACCTGGATCCAGTTGGGCTCTTCAGTGGGCAAGTAGGGGGGTGGGGCGTTGGCGGAGAAACTGAGACAGCCTCATCTCTTCAGCCACCCATCGATCCCACTTCTCAAGCACCTATCCACACTGGAGCTATTCCTTACACGCCTCATCCCACCCCCACCCACCCCAATCCAACAGTTCTACCAGGAACCCAGGTCCACACACTGCCCAAAGCTGGGGGTTGGGAGTGGGAGGAGAATGGGAACATCCCCACCCCCAGCTACACATACAAGGAATAGCAAACAGCTGCAGAGGCCAGGAACACAAAGGTCAGCTGGGAGCCCTAGGCAAACAGTGTGGTCAGCGGTTGTCTGACTGTGTCCACTCCTCCCCTACTGGTCTCAGTTTCCTTGTTTGGGAAATGTGTAGAATAGCAATTGGGCCCACCACACACTGGGTTCTTGGGAGGTTTGAGGAGAGCATGTGAGTGAAGACACAGTACCAGTCTTGCCTGGTCTAAGGAGTCATATGTGGCTGCCTCAGTTTCCCCAACTAAGCCATAAGGTGGGTAAAAGGGAGCCCCAAGTCTTTCCCAATGTGGACTTCAGGTGAAGCCAGGAGCTCCAGGGTACATGAACGGGTTGGAAAGCAGCATCACTCATTGGGCAGATGGACAGCTCTCTGTGATAGAGGAGCGACCACTTTCCCGTCCCCCACCCACTGCTTACACGAGGGGCATCCAGGGCACTAAGGGGTACTTATTGTTGTTTTGTGCCGTCGAGTAGGTGCCAACTCATAGGGTTTCCGAGGAACAGCTGGTGGGTTTGAACTGCTGACCTTGTGACGCACAGTCTAGTGCTTAATTCTACAGTGCCACACCAGGAGTCCCTAGGGGATGGGGGTAAAGTTAAACAGGACCTTTTTTCCTAGGTTGGCCAAATGCCCTCCGCCACCCACATCTGACTAGGGGGTGTGTGTTAGGGGTGTATCTCCAAGGATAGACTGATAGGCCAGAATGGTCCCTTCTACCAGGCTGGGGCATCGGCAGAGGCGTCTACTACGTTAGCCTACCAGGGCCACACGGTCCATGCCACCCCCACCCCAGCTCCGGTTCTCCTCCCTCCCTACGTGCCCTAGGGGCAGGCCGCTGGTCGTCCAGAGTTGAGGGTAAGCGCGGAGGCCTGTCTGCCCGTCCGTGCTGCTGAGGGCTCCCCAGACACTCACCGGAGCTCAGGGCGCGGTGCGCGCACGACAGAAGCAGGAGCGCAGCGCCCAGACACGCGGCCGCTACCAGGCGCCGCCGCCAGCTACGCCTCCCCATGCTGGGCCCCGCTGCGTTCTTCCTTGACAGTGCTTGGTGGCGGGCCACAGGACCCGCCCTGGGATCAGCCCAGGCTGATGACCTGCGGCGTGTACCAAGGTGTGGGGGTGTGAGGGCTGATCAAGAATGGAGCGCAATGGATGGACCCCGGCTCTTGAGTTCTTAAGACTGGAGCCCTCTGGGGACTGGGTCGGTGAGCGACAGCCGTTCGGGCGGGCTCTGCCTCCTATGAACCCCGCTCCACACCATCATTTGGGGCATCCATCCAGGCCGCGAAGGGCGGAGACTGGGTGGGGGAGTCAGCGCATCGACTGTGGGATTTTGCCTTGTGATCTGGGCAACCAGTTTGGCCGCCCCCGTCAGTTTGTCCTGGGTACCCCACATAGCCAAGAAGCACAGTCTTGAGTTAGTGCTGCGGGGAGCAAACCCTTGCAGGCACAATTCCCTCCCAGATAGACACGGTGTCTCCTTTCCTCTTTGTTGGTTTACATGTCAGGGGCCCAAGGGCTTAGCTGGCTTAGCCAAGGAAACGGGGGTCCCACTCCCCTTAGGCCCCATTCTCATTAGATTGTCCCTGGAGTGCTTGCTTGCTTTCTGAGTCTCCAGGCCCTGCCTGAATCTTGACCCCTTGCAAGGAGGAGAGGTGGGATCTCAGCACATGTTCCCTCTAGGCTTCAATCCTGTTGTACCTCATCCTGTCACCTAGAACTACTCCAGGCACCAGGGACCTACAACTCCTTGAAGACACTGTGGGAGGGGAGGGGGAAGGGGATGTTTAGGGTGGGAGAAAGTACCCTTAGTCCTTTGGAAGATAAAGCATCCAGTACCCTGTGGGCACAGGGAGACAAGACTTGACCCATGGTTCTGTCTCTCACATCAGGCCACCAGAGGGTGCAAATGGCAGTGTGCACATATACACAAGAACATGTTTGCTTATGCGTGGTTTGTCATGTACATATATGTATGAGGTGTTCATGTGTGTGCATGTGTGCAGTGAATTGAAGCAGTGAGTAAGACACTGCATTGAACTTCAATGTTCTAATTGCTATTAAAACATTGAGTTAATTCAAATCCTCTGGTGCCACTCACCTTTGTGTGTACAATTGGTTAATATTGGTTAATAACACCTTACAGGTGAGTTAGATGTTTGGTGCTTAGCACTCAGCTATGGAAGTGCTTGGCATTATAGATTCATTTGTTTTGTGTTTACAAGTAACCCTGTTTTGTGTTAACAGTGGTGATACAAAAATTTCTTAAGACACATGTTAACTTGGGTGATGGGGAAAACAATATACACCACAAGGGAGGGTGACAGAGGAAAGATGAGGTGGCAGAGGACACAGAGGAGCGCAAGAGTTAAAGTGAATAGATGCAGATACTGGTGGGACATGGAGGGGGTTGTAATCAGTGTAATGACATGAAGTGTATGATTTGTTCAATATGGGACTGTAAGCCTTTACTCTAATTCACAATAAAGAGTTTTAAAAAAATTCTTTCTATTGTATTATTTAAGTTTAAAAAGGTTACTGATGAAAGAATATAAAATACTTACTGATGAAGATCAAAGACCATAGCCTTCAGTATGGATTGCATCTCA